AATAAGATAAATCATCCTAAGAGATGGATTGTTCCTTTGTCGCGAAATATGAAACAAATGTGGACATTTTGATGTAATTTTTTAAGTTTAAAATTTGAACAAATTAAAGAAAGAATAAAAACAACTGATTTGTAATTCATTCTTCGTGTGTGAATGCTATCCTTTTTATTAAGGGATCCATGGATTTTATAAAATAAAAACAAACGAGTAAGTAAACAAAATATTTCATTTGGAGTTTTGATATCAAGATCTGATAATAGTCTAAACTTATTTAAGTACACTATATGAAGTCCAACATGAAGACCAAATCTATCACTAAGTTGTTCTAAAACAAGCATTTCCAGTTGTTTCTGTATCATTTTCTTCTATCGCCTGAACGTTAACACTTACAAAAAAATGCACAAAAGTATTCGTACCCATCCCAAAATATTTGAATGCATTTCCAGACGTCGATAAAATCTACTGTTGATTTCAGAAGATAACGATAATTTCTTACTTTCTTAATGATAGAATTGTCAAAGGCGCAAATTGCGTTAAAAGCTTTTTAAAATTTTTTCATCAAAATTATTGTAACTTAGCAGACAACGACGACTAGCTTCGTTTTTCTATTAATAAACATATTATAAAATAAAATACATAAATATTTACAGGTCCATTTGAAGACATTTATATGAGCAATCCTGTTTGATCTCAAGCCGATTGTAATGTATTGCTCCTTTGAAAATCATTTTTGAAGTTTTCTTTCGTTTTCTGTACCACTGTTTCCTCGCGTCTTAACGAGAACAATGACATTAGGTTAATTACTATTCACCAGGTAAAACCTGAAGAAACACTAAATAATACCTCTTATTGATATTGGTGTTTGGGGGTAGGTCGGTAACCTTTTGTACATGAAAAACACGGCTTAAATGTTGATTAAATTAATTAAAAATATGATAGACTGATTCAATTTTTATTGCAGGCCAATAAGATTTTCTGCTGTATTTTCAGTTTTGTGACCAAAAAGTCTTAGGATCAACCAAACAGTTAATCAGGTTATTTCTAGCATCACTTTCTTTTGAAGAAAATTCTATTTTATTAAGAAGAGAACATCTGCAGAATGCATAATGCTCTTTGTCAGAATTATTAGTTACATAACATCTTTGTCATCAAATTGCACAGAATTTATTGTAATTATTTTATACATTTAATTTTATATCAGACACTATACCAATCATAGCATACAGAGTTCACTTACAAAATGCACATGTTTCAAGAATATGTTTATTTGCATGGTACTTTTTTGTTTATCTCATAATAATTTAATTTTGGTTGTAACGCATCATTTTGTGAGATAAAAAATTAATCTAAATTGTATAAATTGTAATAAATTCATGGAACCTTTTGTACATGAAAAACACGGCTTAAATGTTGATTAAATTAATTAAAAATATGATAGACTGATTCAATTTTTATTGCAGGCCAATAAGATTTTCTGCTGTATTTTCAGTTTTGTGACCAAAAAGTCTTAGGATCAACCAAACAGTTAATCAGGTTATTTCTAGCATCATTTTCTTTTGAAGAAAATTCTATTTTATTAAGAAGAGAACATCTGCAGAATGCAGAATGCATAATGCTCTTTGTCAGAATTATTAGTTACATAACATCTTTGTCAGCAAATTGCACAGAATTTATTGTAATTATTTTATACATTTAATTTTATATCAGACACTATACCAATCATAGCATACAGAGTTCACTTACAAAATGCACATGTTTCAAGAATATGTTTATTTGCATGGTACTTTTTTGTTTATCTCATAATAATTTAATTTTGGTTGTAACGCGTCATTTTGTGAGATAAAAAATTAATCTAAATTGTATAACCTGTGTTGCGTACGTCACAATAACTTACGTCAAAAACGGATCAATCCGCTTGACGTTACGTTTAAAATATGAACAATTTGAAGGCGTTTTTAATGGAGTTGTCTTGTTTTCTATACTGAATGATTGAAAATTATATAATAAGGAATGAATTACATAGAAACCCAAGTTACTAGTATACTGCTATAACCTGGGATGGAGCAGTTTACTCTTTTTTTTAATCCGCTTCGCGGTTAATAAAAAGCGTGAACTGCCCCAACCCAGGTTTCACAGTATAACTTTGGTTGCTATCTGATTCATTCCTGAAATGTTGTGCTATTTATTTTTCTTATATTTTTATTTTTTACTTCAAGTTTGTGTGGCATATAGGCTCGATGACCTGGGTGTTTATTGTTATTTTATACAGTTTGTAATAATTAATCTATGTACACATGTCACTACATGTATAAATTAATTACTTACTGTACTTAATAAACAATTAAAAGATCCATATAGAGAGGAATATGCTATTTCATATCAACAATATTATTAATATACATGTATATTTAAATTTACTGTTGTGTTGTCAAGCTCAGAATATATACCACTCTAATAGGTAGCAACCTTTTTTTATTTCATGCACTTCCTATTTTTTTTAAATAATATTATTATTTTCCTATTTTTCTTTCTAGTATATTGATTGGGGGAAAATAAAAGGAAAAAAAAACTTGTATAAGCTTTCATGGCTGTCGTCAGATCTATTTCCTTTATGTAAAATTAATATTGTTTCGATAGAAGTAATAAATTATTTCCTATTGGGAATTAATACCTAAAAATATTTGTAAAAAAAAAATTATGAAAAATGTTGAAACACTTTGTTGCGTATTCTGTATGAAGAAGTTTTGCCCTCCCTACTAAGCGGCTGTTACGACAAACGTTTGTCTGACTTGAGGAATCGTGTCATCCAGGTGATTTTCAGGTAGCTCCAGGTGTACCTGCGTTGTACTCACATCCTATGATGCCGAGTCAAATTCTATTAATAAGATAAAACGCCAGAACATACAATAAAATCACAGCCACCTGACGTTACTTATTTTTCTTTAAATAATTAAAAAAATATTTTCCCTACCTAATGATAGGTAGGGGTTATTTATACAGAGAAAATCCGGGTGTGTATCATTACCGCTACATTTTTGAAATTTTCATTACCGCTACAAAAACGTTACATTACCGCTATATATAAAATTATACATTACCGCTACATTGCCTCTTACGTTAGCCAGCCAATAATTAAGGTACTTTTTGCAGCTGCTTTTGCAATTTTTCAGACACATATCCACATTTTTGAGTGTTTGAAAGTCCTATTTTTACCAAATTTATATCCTCCGATAAGTTATTCGGCATTCACGCGATTTGTCACAAACTTCTCAATAGTAGCCATAGCGTTTAAGTGACGTTTAAGAATTACATTTCGACTACAGACTTATATATATATATATATATATATATATATATATATATATATATATATATATATATATATATATATATATACTCATTCTGATTAGAATTCAAATCGAATTTGTACTTAGTCTATATTAAGTGAGTGAATTCTGCTGGTTGAAACTCCTATTCCGTACCATACCATGATGATTCGATATGTGGCGGTAATGAATTGTTTTCGGCCGAAAAAATGTTGCGGTAATGATCGGTCGAAAATTTGAAAAAAAAAAAATAGCGGTAATGAGTTGAAATTTTAGGGGATGTAGCGGCAATGTTGACCTCCCGAAAATTCAACACCACCAAAAGTATAGAGTTATATTTTTTTTATTAAAGGAAAAGTATATGGCTCAAATTAATAAATAGACTTACAGAATTATTTTTTTACTTATTAAAGAACAAAGTAAAAATATATATCAACATAAAAATCATATATTTAGATCTTTTTCAGATCTATGACGATTTAATTATTTACTGTACCTCATGCAACCCTGACTGTTGATATGAGTATAATGAATGAACTTGAGCTTGAGAACTTAATGCCTTTGCCTTTCAATTTTTTTAAAATTAAGTTTGTTGCTCTGTTTAATTTTGTTTGTTTCTTTCTTTGATATTGTTTCTTTCTTTTTGCTTATTTGCTATTCGTTTTTTTTTTAATGAAATCAACAACAAAACTTGACTCTTATGATGTAAAACAGACTGGTGAATAAAAAAAAAATCTAAATTAAGTTACTGATTTTTAATAAAACTTCAGACAAATGATTTATTTAGTAGTTTTAGACATCTTCACACTTTCAGCTAGTCGAGTTTAATTGAGATGTTAATAAATTCACAGTTTACCGAACAGTTTTCAAAAATGACTAGGGGTTCTGTTTATAAACTTTCATTCTTCTTTTTTTACTGCCTCTATATTTACCAAAAATTACCTGGATTGATTACTGTTTATTACCTCATTTAGCGATAATAAATTTAAACCTTTTTGAAAACATTGATAATTTACTTTTCACATTTCACTTAAGTATTTGAATATTTATTTCAATGCCGGGTTATTTTTTTTCTTTTGATTGCGCCAATTCCCATCCCCACCTGCGCGACTGGCACGTGAAATAAGCCGAACTCAGCTATCATCTCCTTAATTATGACATCAATTTCTTAAATTTGCATTTGATTAATTTTGGTTTCGAACACTTGCAACATTGATCTTATCAGTAAGAAGACGGTTGCATAAAATTTATTCGTTTCATTTTTTATCAGTTTATAATTTGTCAATTAAGCAAAGAGAAATTTATTGTTCCATTTATCAGATGTAGAGGGAAAGTGTTTTTCAATTGATCTAAAGAATCCGACATTTTGTAAAGTTACGAAGCATTGGACCATGTAAGTAGACACAGTTGATGAACTCAGGCTGTAAACGAAACCATTCTCCCTTCTGCATCGCAATTTTGAATTATAACATTAAATGCATTATAATTGACTTTTAGCAGAATCAGTAAATGCATTTTGGCAATAATTATGAATATTTGCATCTATTAGTGAGAACACTTTTACACCTCCAAAAATTATAAAATATAGTCATTTTTTTCATTCTCAGATGTTTGTGTAATTGATGGGGGCAGAGCAATAGAGAAATCACCAAAATACGGTGTCATTTCTTTATTTGGTGGGTATCATTAAAGATACCTATCAGTTTAATCTTATCTTAGATGGAACAGTCGCCATACACACATAATAACTCATCAAAACAAGTCGGATATGGAAATGAATATTTAAAGGTAATTTTACACAATTTATAAATTTTATCTGATTGAAATAAAAGCAATAATGTTAGCAATAATACTTAATATTAAGATGTTTCTCACATCTTATTTAAGTTAAGATATAATTTCAGATACAATTTTGGGGATAATGCACTACAATTTAAAGTGGAGATACATATACCAGGATAAACATCTAGACATTTTAAGATAGCCATTTGATCTTGTAATCTTTTTATAATTCTGAGCAACAAAATGTTGCAAAAGTGTTGAAATTGTGTCATTGATGTAGATGCATCTAAGATAACATATAAATATTCAACTCTAATTATGTATCGGTTAATTTTTTATTCTATATGAACCTTTTACTGCTTTTCTAAGAGGAATTTTTATACCTAACCCAGAAAATATAACCCAATTGTCTTTTGACTTGTTTATCCGTTTAGAATTTACGAGCACTATATCATTGCAAAAGTGTGAATTTAAGTAGCTGGTAAATCCAATATTAACTAGAAGGAATGGAAACATTATTAAGTGTAAATTTAGATTGTAGTTTTTCTCTTGAAATTCTTGTATGATTTATTTTAATTTTATGTTTAATGATAATGCAGAGAAATTAAGGGTACATATATTTTCTTACTTTTTGAAATCAAGAGTGTTCAATTTTATTTTTAAAAAAAGCTTGCTGACATTGCATCTTGGAATTTTATTTTTGACAAAAAACCTGCCCAAATCAGCAAAGTGCAATAATATTTCTTTAAAAAGGGGGGGGGAGTTAAACATAGTGTTTTGATAGCAACAAATATTGAAAATCTAAGTACCCGATATACGTTTTAAAATCTTAAAAAGAGGCACGTTTGCAAGACCTAAATTTCGAATTAGCCATCATACTAACTTTGCATATTAAATTATTTTAAAATAATTAGCTGGCTTTATTTGCACTAAAATCAAAGTAAAATGTCAATTTTCAGAGAGAAATTAATTGCATAAGAAGTTTCTAATTTTGCTATCTTTTGAAAATACACCACCGTTCAAGTAGAAAATCAAGAAAGTAAAAGCATTTTTCATGAAATGTGTGCCTTAAGTTTTATTTTCAATATTGTAGTGTACATTCTAGCAAAATTTTTATTATCTTCAATCTTAATAATTCTTATTTAAATTCATGACTTCATTAACGAATGTCCACTTTATCTGCACCAGTACAATTTTAGATACTAGTATGAACAATCTTTTCTTTGCACTAAAACTAAAATTTCATGAAATTCATATCCATCTATTTTTCTGGATACAAAACTAAATAGAGTAGAAATTATGCTCCAGAACCATTGTTCGTTGCTGCACTGGATACGCAGAAGGTCTGAAATTTGTTCATCTAGTCACTAATTGGTAGGTTCCTCCCCGTTTGTTGCCATAGGAACTTCCTATGTTGAGATTAATATTATATACAATATAGATCTAACATTTTGAGAACATTGACAGGTTTTTAATAGCCTACTTTTTCGTACTTTCCAATGTATATCAAGGATAATTACTGAACCACAAAAAATATTCGTTCTTTTTTTTTGAAACATATTAATTCAAGGAAATGTGGGAGTTAGCCAATGGTTAACGTTTTCATTGTAGTTGTACTAGTACTTATTGCTTGTTTCTATAACAACAGACATAGAACAATAAGTTCAATTGGAAAATAATTGGTACAGGTTATTTGATATATCATAAATACCCAAGTTTATAATTAAAGTCGTCTATCAAATAATTTTACACGCACTTTAAAATTTATTTTAAATTGTTCCGTTATATTATTAAATCAAGTTGTTAGGCGATGTTGGAAACTTGTTTTGACAAAATATTTACAGCTTTAAATGATTTTTTATGGAAATTTACACTCACCTTCAATGTAAAAGACATTTTGGAAAAATTACTAAAAATTTGGTATTGCATACTGAAAATATATTGGAACATAAATATATTTTATTTCATCGTGATAAAGATTTCATGTCCGAGAAATACACGTTTCAATCCTTTTTAATTTTTGGCATATTAATTTAACTGTAATTATTAAACATAATTCGAATATATTCATATTCATGTTTAAATTTTTCATTTAACACCATGTAGATAACTTAAAATTTACTATTGATGGGAATATTTACAAATTCTTCGACAACAAATAAACGACCGTGAAGATAATGATTTGAACATATTTTATTGCACTAAATATATACAATGGGATTGGGCACAAGTTCTAAAAACTTCAATCGCCCTCTCCCTACATGAAATATTATAACAGGATGAATTTGAAGTGACCAACAGTTTGTACAAAATAGATTACTAGTAACTTAAATTAACTCACAATGTAGACATACAATGTATATATACTGCTACATTATTGTTTATACAAATAATTATAAAAATGAGAACAATCAATTAAATCTACCAGAATGCTGAATATAAGAATGTACAATAGAGAAAAGATATTCATTCAGATATTCAGATATTTAATATTCATATTCACAGTGAAGAAAGAAAATGGGATTATCCTATATCAGTAAAAGAGAAGGGAAGAGAGCAATTATTGGAAACTACACAAAACCGCTTTATCTACATATGTTAAAAATGTCACTCACTAAAACTCAGATATTTAGCAAACCTGTACATGTCAGATTAAAGTATTTCATCTTTCGGTACTATTTTAAAATAATTCTTGAAACATAAGAGAGGAAATTATACATGTGAAAATAAAACGTATCAATGTCAGAATTTACAGTTGTAAACTACTACTGCAGATGCGCACGCATTATTTTTAACAGTACAGGCATTTGACAATCAGGCATTTGACAATGGTAATAATAATTATACTAGTACCTCTCGGTTCAGGTTTATTATTGCTGTATACAAGATCATAAACAACTTCCTGATATGAATGTTTTTACCCTCAAAGGGTATAAAAATGTATGTATTATCTATTAATTTATAACAAACCATTTTATATTACAGGTAAATAATTAATCTTGTTTAAGAAGAAAGGGCGAGGATTCTGGCGATTTCTAAAAAAAGTCGAACTGTTTAAATTGGCAAGAATTCGGTCGGTAAGTCCCGGAAAAGACATCAAAGAGAAAAAATACACACCACACTACCATCAATTTTCATATTTGATTGAATAAATCAATTTATCTCTTGTTAAGGAGAAGATTATTGATTGCCAATCGATAACGATCAATAGGGTGTATCCATGTTAAACTATTTTAACTGATAATAAACTGTTAAAACGACACTGATTTGAAATGAGAACGTAGTTGATTAATTTAAGGTATATAATGTGGATTTTGTATCACTCAGACGTATCCATCAAGAACTGCTTATACGAGATCGATCACTGTGATTGATTTCTGTGCTTCGTCACGATGCCTATTGTATGAATTATGATGCGAGGTGTCGCTTTCTAGCTATATACCTGTATGTTTCATATTTATACAATGTCTATAGTAAAAATGCACACAGACTTCGGAGAGTAAATCCATTGTGGCTCGATGAAGATGAATCAGTAACTACTTCATCATTCGTCATTGAAATAAAACCAGAGAACTTCCTTTTAACTTTCAACTTTGCTATTTATTCTAGAATATCTTAAATTGATTCTTAATCAATTATGTACCATTTAAAACTTGACATAACTATCACAAAGACTGATTATTATAAAACCACTAAAATAGTATCTCCTTTTATTATCTGGCGCCAAGTCCAAAAACCACACCCATATAGGAAAAAAATAACACAAACGAATAAACTGGCGTCATTTTTATCTTTATTTGATATTAAAACTCGGCTTTAATATACAATTTTATATGATGTTTATATATCCATTATTACAGAATTCAATTACCCATGGTACCGATATTTTTGACATTTAAGGTTAGCTAATGTGCATATTTAATGTTAATGTCTTCATGGACAGGATAACAAGATCGAAAATCCTCTCGAGTAATTTGGGAACAAAACCCAAAATTTTACAACCCGTTTCTTAAAACGCAAGGGGATTAGTTTCCGCAAATTAAAGATTTTATGACTTTAGAAAGACATGTGCAATATAAAATTTTGATTTGAGATTAATTGTTAACCTACATTCTGTGAGCGCCGTGTCGTCAGTTAGAGTAGAGGTTCAGTCATACTTACTGATACATCCCATTGTATGTAACTGTAGACTGTCTCTTCTGCTTCATAATGATCTTTTATCGGAATATTTCCTTTTTTGTCGCATGATTTTCTGTCTCAATTTAATTTAAAATACAGTTTATTTCTGTCTAGACAACAAAGTTATTATTTATCAAAGTGCATCCCTCTTATTTTCGAAAAGCGCAGCAATAGAGGAATAAACTAATAAAAGCATCATAATTTTTGTTCAGTACGTGGTTTTTTGTATGTATAAACTTGATAAAGCTTACCGGTGAATATACCAATCGATCGATTGGAAACATTAGAATCAGATCTCAGTTTTGAAAGCTTTGTTTTCAAATTGAGTTCCATGTCTACAAATAATAAAATATGAATCGTCCTCATGGGAATCGGTAAGGTTTAGATTTTTTTTCTGTGAATAATCATATTGACAATAGATACGGTTTAACCCTATGTATCTTTTGAGCAAGATGCCAAAGAAAGTAAGATAAGAAATTATTTAAAAACACTTTCTTGTTGTGGCCTTCAACTCGACATTTAGATATATCGACGATGTACTGAGTATTACATGTATCAGTTAATAACAGTTAATTTCATTCAAATATCGACTTGATACAAGTCAAGTCCATTGAGTTTGAAATAAAAGATACCACAGAGTCTGACATATCTGTTTCATATTTGAATATTTTACTAAAAAATTACGTTAATGGTAACCTAACAACAAAGCTCTGTGATAAACGAGATAACTTTTAAATCGTCAACTTTTATATTACTTAAGGTAGGATTCTTCTCTAGTTTCTGACTAGATGAAATATTCAAAGTGTATTTGCTTATATGTCTTATATATTTAGGTGTAAGAGCTTTAAAAGACCACATTTTTCTTTCCACGTCACACTTGTACATTTTTGAATAGAAATGGTAAACTGCATTTGAAAACGAGCAGGGACTATATTTTTGGCGGAATGGTGGCGTATGAAAATATCTTTTAAACTGCCTCTCAAAATTATTATTAAACATTGAATTTGGTTATAATTTTTACGCAGTCAAAGACTAGATGAAATTTTCAAATGCAAGTTAAAATAATGATAAGGGACTAAAGTTTCAAAATATATCAAATAAATAAGGTTTTTGCACACCTCTATCAGTTGATTTGATACATAAAAGCATGATATACGCACGAACTATTTCTATAACAAAACAAGCTATTGATAAACAAGTTGATTAAGCAACCATATCAACAGTCTAAAGTTTAAACGTCACCATTTCATTAGATTTACGGTCGATACACTGACCATGTAAGCAAATAGAATATGTCATTAATACAAATACTGACTTACGTTTTTCATGCTAATTGTTAGGACATTTTTACACACTGAATTGTCTACCGATTTTTCCATTTGCTACCGATCATGACATAGAGTACATGGCATATGTGACCGCTCGACAGCATGGGATGCTTACTCCTCCATGGCACCAGATCCAACCTCTGTTGTTTTATAGGTCCGTGTAAGCTCTTCTCCTGAATTGCATTGTTTGAATCGTTTTCTTGTCATTGAAAACTGGTCGTTACATATTGGTCTAAAGTTTTGATGATCTATAAACTTAACCTTGCATACATAAATGTATCACTTTTTATAAATGTTTTTCAGGGGGTTTATTTATAAATGCACTCAAGGCTGAAATGTAAGAGATATTTTGAATTTGTATGGTTTGTCATAGATGTAGATGAATACGAGACTCGTTTTTTAAGTATTACATACTAAAATCTCAGTGTTGTAAAAGAAACTTTCTTTAATCAATTGATAAAGGACAGGTTTAGGAGCATAGAAAAATCTTATAAATGCTCAACTTGACAATTATTTCAAAACAGAAATATTTAAGTAACTCCCCAAAGGTTTAAGTTATGAAATATCAAACTCTCCCGATAAAAATGGGTAAAGATGAAAAAAATAAAGACATATTTATATGAATGTGTTCTTTAAGTGATAAAAACTCTGGGTGATGAATTCTACTTTTGGAGATAACGAAAAGTATTCCAGCTTTAAAGCCCATTGAGACAATATAAATCAGGGGCAGATCAAATATGGACCTCTAAAACGTCTGAGATCAGGTGTCATGGAGGATTCACCATCCCCTGCCAATCGGTCACACTCGCCTTGTGCTCCTTGCCATGATCGGCCAAACGGAAACGTTCGTAGACAGTGGACAACTCAAAGTATAAATAATTTACAGTCTAGCAATTGGTATGAAAGGCGTTAGTGAGCATTCGATTTAATGAAAGATTGCACTTGCTAACCATAGATATATTGCGAAATGATTACTTGATTTAAACAATACTTTCGAAATCATGCTTTCATCAACTTGTTTGCCAATAGTCTCGTTTTAAAAACTGTTCTTACTACGGCATGCTCTTGTGTATCAAATTAACACGGAGGCAAAAATCCTAAGGGTATATTGCTACATAGGCCATGAAAGTAGACGATTGACGATCATCACGTTTATCATAATTCTTTTTTGGATCGATAACCAATGATGTTTTTTTCTAGTAAAATATCCAAATATGAAACAGAGATGTCAGACTCTGTGGTATCTTTTATTTTAAGGTCACTTGGATATGAATGGATGTAATCATTATTAGTTGATGGTATGTTATATCAATATATCTTATTGTCGAGTTGACGGCCAAGGAAAGTGTTATTCTTCTCAAGTACAAGATTTTGAATAAATTCTGCTTCATACGAGTACAAATGTATAAAATGGCCCTGTACTTATATCAATTAATTTACTATCACCTTCTTTCCCATTTCATATATCAAAATAAAGTAGACACTTGGTGCTTTCATTTTCAATAACATAATTTTGATTTGAGAATCCAGATATTGGAAAAACAGGTTTGAGAAATTGCAATGTTATTGAAAATTGCAGAAAACATGCGAATTTGATTACATTCAACAAAGAATTAAAATATGAGCACAGCCCACGATCCAAAAAATAAAACATGTTTTTTGGTCTTCAGAAACAGAGCTTTCATTATGTATTTGCATATTTTGGATCAGAGTTTGTGCTCTATATGAAATATTGAAAAAATGCTTCAACTTTAGGCCATTTTCAACGGAATTTACAGGATATTAGGAAAATGACGCATATTATGACATCATAATGCATTGACTAGATGAAAAATTACGTGCTCCAAGTGATAAATACTTCATTTGCAACTTAAACTGATCGGTTTTGATTTTTCAGAAATTCTCAGGACCAAATAAGGCCCAAAGTGGCTCTTGCTCTTTGTCTTCTAATTATGGGGCACAATAAACTTCAGATTCTTATGTCCATCAATTTACTTTATGGGTAGTTTTGATTCTGGAAAAACTGGTCTTTTTATAGTTCTTTATTCTATTACTTTATGCTATCATCTTCCTTAACTTTGTATTTTGATCATATGTAAACATGTTCATAGATTTCGTATACCATTGTATGGCCTGACAACAAGAAACGCACATGCCAACTTAGTGTTTGAATTAATAAGGGTGTAAGGGTTATCCCATTCCTGTAAACGGAAGAAACTCTTAATGATATTAAGTACCTCATTTGTCAAATTAGATTAATTATGTTGAAAAACAAATTGGAACAACAATGTAACAATTACAACATGCCGTTCTCGATAATAACACGTTTCTTGGAATCAACCACAGTGTCTAAGATTCGCGCTGCAACCTCTCAAAAGATGTCAGCTTTCTGTCCTAACCTCTCATTATCCACCATAAATATGTAAAAACCGACGGACGGTAATTAGTTCGTGTGGACGGCCAGCTTATTATTAATTTGCTGCACTTAATTTTGACATGCAAACAAACTATATTATTGCACGCAACGATTATGGAGATGATGTTCCCGTCAATGCAGTGGCACGCCGAAG